TTCATAAGAAGGGGGACAAGACTGAGTGTGGTAATTACCGAGGAATATCGCTGCTATCAACCTCATACAAAATTCTATCCAACATTCTTTTGGCAAGATTAACCCCATATGCGAATGAAATTATTGGGGATCATCAGTGTGGGTTCAGACGAAACAGATCAACGATTGATCAGATCTTTTGCATTCGTCAGATACTAGAGATAGAACCTTTGGGTTTTGTAAGCCATCTAGTTAGTTAGTTTTAATATGTCGTAAACGGAAGTCCTTACGATACGTTCAAATTCGAAGAGAACTTATTTTTAGTTTTGTTTTTACAAAGACACAACAATTTCTGTCTCTGTCCCTTAAAGCAGCCAAGAATACTGCCAAATTGAAAACAAGTCAAGTGCATGTTTATCTGTTATTTAAGAAGTGCACTACTTTAATTGTGTGTTTGTAATGTCCTTTAAATTTTGTTTGTGGGCATGAGGCAATATTGAAGTGAAGATTTGTGGGGATAAACGTCTGAATGTTAATAGCATAAAAAACATTTTACCTCTCCTATCGCCCTTTGAAATTACAGTACTATAATTAAGATTGTCGAAATGAAAGCTGTAGTTTATTGCAAACACCATTGTTCCTTACATGGAACCTAAATCTTCATTGTCGTCTTTATGAGAGGCTTCCACTGGTCCTTGTCACTAACCACACAAACGGAGTTGACATCGTCACGCCTTTTTTAAAATTTATTTTGTATTCTGCCATACGTTCCTGTGTCACTAAAGTGGACCTCAGTTACTCCGGATAAAATTTTATATTAATTTCTTATCTTCCATATTCGTCCTTAAGTCCTGCCAATTTAATCCTTCTTGTGATTGGCTACTTGTCCCTTCCCCCTTTCCAGTGAGTCGTAAAGAAATGTATGTCATTGTGCACATTTTGGGGTGTGATAAAGGAAGTCTGTAGAAAGTTAGACTCGCCACACAGTCAGAGGTTGTCCCCTACCGGATGTTGACCTCACGTTAATTTATTTATGCCCAGTGAATCCCATTCATCCGTGCTTCCAGCATGAGCGACTCTACTGTGATGTCTCTTGTTCTACGAGAGGCATGGTAGATGTCAGAGCAGTGGTACAAACGTTGAATCTAAATCTTTTTTAGTTTATCCATGAAATATCGTTGCCGTATTACAAGGTATTTTCCCAGCCTGCGACTAGACATGAGTTCTGATAGCTGTTTTTACAGCAACGACTCGATCGAGTTACCTTATGGCAGTGCTTCTCAAACCTGGGTAAATTACCCAAAAAACGGGTAAAAGTGGTTTTTCTTTGGGTAACGACACACCCATTTCTGTGTGACTTGACTGAAATCCCCGATAATGTTAATGGCCTTACGATCAAATGATGGAGCTTAGGTTAAGTATTCAGTGCAAAATGTTATTTGAAGAAAAAAAGGACAATTTGGAGTCTTTCTGGTTAACAATTCACGATGAATATCCTGTGGTAGCTGGGGAGGCCGTGATGCAATTATTGCAGTTTCCGAACACCTGCATGTGTGACGTAGGATTTTCCACTCTTGCCTTCATAAAGAGCACGAAACGAAAATATTTGCTGAACCCCGAATACGATGTGAGCTCTGCTCTGTCTCCAATTGCTTCTAATTTTGCGAAACTAGTAAATAAGATGGAGCAGTGGCTTTGTACTCATTAGCCGGGACCTGGGTGATGAAATATTCGTGGTGAATAATTACCAAATTTTTTGTGGCTGCTAAAATGTTTGGAGATGTTTAAAATAAATACACTGCATCAAACATATTTTTTGCTTCCTATTTTGACGTAAATACGTCTATAAGGAAGGGTCATTCGGCAAAAGAGTGTAACGAAAAAGGGAAACGAAAAAGTTACAGGAAAATCTGTAAGATCCGATAACAATGGTTACCTACGGAACGTCGTCTGTTTATTTTATTTAGTGTTCTGTCTGACGACAGGTCCATATGAACAGGATCCTTCCATCCTTTTCTCGGACTGGGACCTGTTCATATACGTTCTTGGCAGATGATCCAGAAGTGGTTTGCCATTGCCTTCTTATGTGTGTGAATGGAGTAATTTTTGGGATGCCACGGAGGAAAACTCCGGGCTGCCTAGACCACGGCCTTGCCCACCACAAGTTATAAATTCGGGCACCGCCGGGAATCGAACCCGAGACCCCAGGATTACAAGGCCAGCGTTCTAACCGCTAGACCACCTCATCTTATTATTATTTAGTGTTCTGGCTGACGACAAGTCCATATGAACAGGATCCTTCCATCCTTCTCTCGGACTGGGACCTGTTCATATAAGTTCTTGGCAGATGATCCAGAAGTGGTTTCTCTTCACGTGTCAATTATGTTTTCTGTGCAGTTAGAGACCTTCTGATAAGTGGTTTTGGGTAATGAACAAAAAAGTTTGGGCAGCAGTGCCTTATGGGTACAAGTGAGACTCTGTCGCTGTGCTAACCATTTCGATAGATATCAGAGTTTTTGATGGTTGTTAGGATGAGAGACTTGTATGGTTTTATGGTGTGCTGAGTGTGGGACCTGTGATATCTTCATGACGTTTTTGTAGAAAAGAAAAATGTTGCAACCACTTCCATACTCATGATAGGACAAGTTCGGTCAACGTTGTAAAGCCAGGTGTGTTTTATGGTGTGTTCTTAGTATTACAGATTTCGTAAGTCAGATGCCGCGCCTCGTTTTGAGAATTAGTAAATAAAGTGTCAGATAACGTATAATAAATTTTTCTCCGGTTATCAGCCGTGGTAGGTGGTTTAATGAAGAAAACTGGTACCCGAGAAGAATTTGTTGTATTTAATCACCTTGAATGCTTCAAATCATGTGTCAGATAACGTGTATTTTATCACAAAACCGTGATCACGGGACTAAACATGTGTGCCATCGATGCTAGTTGTAATGGGGTATTTAATTTTTTAATTAAATCTTTTTAGGAAATTAGCCGCGTCCACGAAGAGACAACTTTTCGGGAAACATCTCCGTCCACATCATCAGGGTTCCCGAAACGTTGGTCTCTTCTTGTAACCAGTTGACGCGGCTGATTGCCCGAAAATATTTTATTGAGTTTGGTCGCCACAAAATCTTCAAATAA